GATCATCAGTCCATCCCTTTACTCTAGCGCGAGTTTCGATGGTACAAGGTTGGAAGTATTTGAAATAGTTCCCTACTATATACAGAAAGTGATATTAGTTTTCCATATAGATTTAGCTTTTAAAATAAATGTATTTAAACAAACAAACAAACAGAGTCGACTTAAAATAGTAAACAAATAATTTTATGAGTTGTACAGGGGCGAGACCAAAGTTAGGAAAGTGGTACTTGCGTGACTGGCATTTGGAGTCTACGCTGTAGCGCTTTGCCTGCGGGGGCACGTGCTCTGGAGTCCCGCCAGCCTGGATTCACAGTTGCTGTGCGGCCTCCAGGGTGTATGACCTTGAGAAAAAGGACTTCCTCTCTCCAAGCCTCAGTTTCCCCACCTTCAAGGTGGGGATGCTAGCATCCCCTATCCTTGGGATTGTTCGATGATGCAATGAACTAAGGGGTGAGCCAGCACACGCCCGGCACACACTGAACCCCCTGTCAACAGAAGTGATGTCTAGTCTTACTCTTTGCCCATCTGGCTTCCTTCGGGGCGCTCTGGCTGCCCAGCCCAGGGGCCTTCGTGGTTAAGCTAACACGGGCTGAACCAGTGTTCCGCTTGCTTTGGTTTAACAAGTGCTGTGGTCAGTGCCCTTCTTGAGGCCAGCGGGCCTCCCTCTTCCTTCCAGGGTTTGGCTGGGGCCCAGGCCAGCCCCTGAGCCTCTGTGTAACAGGCTCTCTCCCTCCTCTCTTCTCTCCCCGCAGACACACTGTCAGTGCCGCGCTGGTCCCCGCAGATCCCTCGCAGAGACCTTGGCAACTCCATCAAGCACAGGTAGGCCGGATTCTGCCTCCCAGCACGGTGAGGGCCGGGGACTCTGACCCCCCGGGGTGAGGAGAGGCCGGGCACATGTGTTGCTCCATGACCCTCTTTCTCATGTGCCAGGCAGCCCGGGACTGAGATGTCTGCGTCTTATGAGATTAGCACGTAATGGTTAAAAGACGGGGCTTTGGAGTCAGACTGACCTGTGTTCCAATCTCAGCTAGTAAAGCTCTGAAACCTTGAGGAAGTTACTTAACCTCTCTGAGGCTGAATTTTCTTATCAGATAATTCTGCCTACCCATAGGGTGGTCGTGAGGATTAAGTGAGGGAATATATTAAAGTGCTAAGGAAAGTCCCTGGCACATAATATCCACTCAATAAATGGTACTGTCAAAACAAATGCTTTGTATCTTGACTTTGGGTTTCCTCACCCAGAAGACACAAGATTGGATGATCACTGTCTTCTGAGGTGTAAAATCAGTCCAGAGCTCCAGCCAGGTTGGGTGCAAGGGCCAACCTCTCAAGGGCCATGCCTGCCCTTTTCAGGAGGGAGATTTGTACCTACTCGTCATCCCTTATAAGAAGTCCTTTAACTTTCCACATTTTATCTCATCAATCTCCTCGCAAGTAATTGGCGCGCGTGTGGTCATGTCCATTTGACAGATAGGAAAGCCGAGGCCCTGGATGATTCAGTGATGGGTCTACACGCTAATTGACCTCAGCACTTTATGTTCTTTGACTACTGCTGCTGAGAGTTTTCTTTGCATCTAGGCCTCTGTGAGTCATAGATTCTTTCCACTCAGATTTATGGAGTTTCTGGGCCACGGCTACAGCACTGAGCGAGATACAGACCTGTGCCCTTGGGGAGCTCATGGCCTAGTGGAGGTCTGGCGGACAGTTAACAGACCAGGGCTTTGGGGTGTGGGGGGCAGTGCCTGGGCATTCACGTCATCATAGCCGGGGTGAGGCAGCACTGAGCACTGGCTGGGAAAGGCGTCTCATCAACAGCTCTTCAGAGAAATATGTTGACAGGACAGTTGTTAAGTCTCAAATGAGAAAGTTGGTGGAGGAAGTAGTGAGAAATACGTGATAGACACATCAGTGGTCAGGCAGCGAGATGCAGAGGGAAAGGGGCCTATTTTTTCTTTCTTCACGCCCCCCTCCCCCACTGGATTAGCCCCACTCCTGGCTCAGCTCCACCCCTAGGTTGGCTCAGTTCCTGGCTCAGCTCCACTCCTCGGCTGGAGGGCCGGGATGTTAATCTAAGGTCATTATCCCCACTTGACAGATGAGGAAACTGAGGCTCCAGGGGTTTAAGCAAATTGATTAAGTCTCATCTGGGAAGAAGCAGGACTGGAATCCAGGGCCCGTGTGCTTACCTGTAAGTGGTCCGTCCTTCTAGAGACACCTCAGTCACCATCACCCTGACCTTGAACATTTTCTGTCTCTTTTCCACAGGTTTTCCACCAAATACTGGATGTCTCAGACGTGCACAGTCTGTGGGAAAGGGATGCTTTTTGGCCTCAAGTGTAAAAATTGCAAGTAAGTGGCTGCACCCGGAAGCATCTTTGCACTGTGCCTGATGTCGGCTAGAGCCGCCCTGGGCCCTGAAACGGCTGATGGGAGTTTGGTTTCTTGACTTCCAGGAGCGTTGCTTGCCCTGTTTTTCGCAAATAGATCTGAAACGAACTTGTGTATTTGGGGAAGGGCTTAAGGGGAGCAGTTCTGAATGAGAACCTGAGCAGATGGGTGGTGTTAGAAATGCATAGTGCTGTCTGCCCCGGCCTGATGGCTCCTCGCATCTTCATAGCATCTAGGATCGGGGGCTGGCAAACTTTCTTCTCAGGCTGACCGGACAGTAAATATTCTAGGCTTCCTTGGCCATAGCGTCTCTGTTACAACTGCTCATCTCTGCCGTGTGGCTCAGAGGCAGCCAGAGACAATACCCAAATGGGCAGGACTTATTTATGTATTCCCATAAAACCTTATTTACTAAATATTCTGCGGGCTGGCTCGGGAGCCTCTCGGCTGCAGTTTGCCAATCTCTGAGCTAAAGCTTTTGAAGTCTTTTTCTTTCATTTTCTCTCCTCCGAGGGGCTGTGATGATTCTCCCATTTCGCAGATGTGTAAGCTGAGTCTTGGCAAGGATAACTCTCCTGCCTGAGGTCGCACAGCTAGGAAGTTCCCGTCAGGACTTGAACCCTGGCCCCTGACTCCTGCCTTTTCTGCGGCATCACGTTGGTCTCGAGTTCGCGCCCCGCCCCACTTCCACGCAAACGTTCCAAGTCATGGCTGGAAAAGGTGGGGAGGGGATAGAAAAACTGCGGTGCCCAACTTAGGCTCTGTGGTCAGGCTCAGATGGCCTTAAATCCTGGCCCTCTTACTTCCTAGCTGTGTGACCTTGGACCAGTCACCTCACATTTCTGTTCCTGGCATTTTCATCTGCATGAGCAGAGTAATCATCTTACCTGCCTGATGGGGTGACAAGCATTCAAGGAATAAGCGCTAGAGGACAGAGCTCGGTGGCGGTGGTGGGCTCAGAGTTCTGACCTCTGCCAAAGGTCGCAAATGCCTTTCTGCCTGGCCCCCCCTCCCTCCTGCCTTAAATGTGTATTAAATACCCACTCTGGTCCAGTGACTAAAATAGTCAGTAACATTCAGCTGTATGGAAGAGCTACAGATGAAGGCGTGTCTGTGTGCTGATGGCAGCCACTTAGTTTAAAAGGCAGCAGGGAGCCTTCTTTCCCCTGTAGCCTTGTCCAGCTCAGACGTGGAGCTCTCATTTAGGCTCCTTCAGGCCTCCCCGCACCCCTGCCCTGTGATGGAGGTGGGCTAGCCGCAGGGCCGAGGGCTCACTGTCCCCCGGCCTGGAGGTGTCACCTGAGTCCTGAAGGTAAGGCAGAGGGCTCCCTTCTCTTGTGGGAAAGATTAATTAGTCCCAGCGCCCAAGGAGGCGTCAGCTCCACGGGTGTAAGGGAAGACGCACAGGGCAGTCATTACAAGCGTGCGTGTTTGGAGGCCCCCCCCCTCGGTTCTCCATAGACCCAGGCTCTGGGTGAGCCCCGGGATGGCGGCCCCTGGTCCTCTGACCCCGCAAGGCACAGGACCAACCGGAAGGGTGTCTGATTTCCCCCGAACACCAGCTGCTCGGGGGCCCGTGTGTAGTCACCCCGTGTTCTGTGGGGGAGACGGCAGCCTTCACATGCTCACACCTGCAGAGTGCAGGCTTTGAAGTCAGGTAATTAGGTGACAGGGACACAGCCGGGAGTCAGCAAGGCTGAAGGCTTCCTGAGCTGGTTTAATTTTCGCACTAGATGCAGAACTGGGAGGCCGCTTCTCTTCTGCCCTCCGTCTAGAAGCAACTGCGAAGGCTCAGAGCCTGCTGAGGGTTGGGGGAGGGCACG